CCCCCCCCCCTCTGTGTATATAAATATACATATACAGTATATTGTTCCAGAGTTCAAGGAGGCTTTCATGCTCTTCGACAAGGATGAAGATGGAACAATTACTATGGCCGAATTGGGGGTTGTTATGCGTTCCCTGGGACAGCGACCAACTGGTAAATTGTTTATTATACTTATATGTTTAATATAAAATAAGAAAGTGTAAGCGGCCACAAAATAAGAACGAAAGATGAAATACTCGTAATTTAACCAGAAAAAATCTATTCTGCCTTTCGGAATGAAATTTTTCATTGTAACCTATTGTGGCTATGGTTCTCTGTATACAAAGATGTATACGGTTATATTGCAGTGCGAAAAATTCATTTCATGAATTTCTGTGAATTTGTCCTGGGGATTGGTACGAGCGTTCCACATATTTTCCTGGTCGTTTCACGAAAGCCTGGGCTCTCGTGCCGTATGAGAAAAGGAACTGCGTTGTAAGAAATTGTCTGAAACCCAAGAGAAATATGAGCGCATTTTCATGATTCTTGTAGCACATTAAACGTGTGCTTTTCTGTTATCTAAAAGTTACATACCCATTATATGTGTGTATATATACCTCGGAGTATTCATTATATTTTACTTCATCTTTTCTTTTAAAGCAAAGATCCTTAATGATGCTCAAAATATTGACTACCTTTTTCGAATATATTTCTGTACTCACCATTTTTGTATTCTTAAACTATTCACTATCCGAATTCTATTTTGTTGCTAACTACAGAAGCCATATCAAAGTTAACGATGAATAATCGTACACGAGATAATCGTTCAACTCGTTAACCTAAATTATTATTAATATTTATTATAAATTATTATAAATATATATTGATAAAGTGGACATTTATTTGCGCATTCGCTGTTAATTATTTGCAAAAATTCACATGTTTACGTTCCTGTAGGTAAATGGAAAAAAAAATAATATCCATTTGACATGCCAACAGAAACGGAACTGCGAGATATGGTGAACGAGGTCGATCAGGACGGTAATGGAACCATTGAGTTCAATGAATTTCTCCAGATGATGTCGAAGAAGATGAAGGGTGCCGACGGGGAGGACGAGTTACGCGAAGCTTTCAGGTACTTTAGTTACGATATGCCTACCAGTGCGGGGCGAAAAGAAATCTGATTTGAATTCGCGAGTGAAAAAAACCACACTACTATCCTGTAACAGCAGATGATTGATGCGCGAACAGTACTGCGCGCTTCGACGATGACAAATCCAGCGAAAAGCAAACATCAAAGAAGATTGATAGGAACCACTCATTGTCAGGAGTCAGCAAATCGAGCGATCTCTCTCTAAATTACCCACGTAGCTCACATATAAGTTTACTGGATGCTTTTTTGCATTTTCTGTTTAATTCGCTCCATTTTATTTCTTAGACCCGTCATAATCTCTGATTTTTGATCCAGGGTATTCGACAAGAATAACGACGGCCTGATATCCTCCATGGAATTGCGACATGTGATGACGAACCTGGGGGAAAAGCTTTCCGAAGAGGAGGTCGACGACATGATCAAGGAAGCAGACCTTGACGGTGACGGAATGGTGAACTATGAAGGTTGGTCAAATTGAGAATGAATACTCTTATAGAATAATTGTATCGAGAGGTTGCGAATAGTATTATAATATGAAGAAAGTGGTATATAAAGAACTGCAGAATATTAATCTTTGACTATTGTAGAATTCGTGACAATCCTGACATCAAAGAATTAGTTTGGAGGACGCACGAGCCAAAGACTACCAACGTGGTGTTCACCATTGAGTGTAACGTCACGTGAAAACCCCCAGAGGAAGCGAGAGAGAGAGAGAGGCAGAGAGAAGATTAAACGGCACCGAACAAGCAGAAAAACCGTCGAATTCATAAGAAGCGCAAGACACACACACAAGGAGAGAGAGAGAGAGAGAGAGAGAGAGAGAGAGAGAGAGAGAGAGAGAGAGAGAGAGAGAGAGAGAGGCAGAGAGTTCGTGCGTACGTGCGCGAAGAGAATACGTGAGATAGTGAAATCGAAAATAAGTAAAAGAAAGAGAGAGATTTTCAAAAAAAAAAAAAAGCTAAAAGATAATGAAAAGTGACAAGAAAGCGAACTTTCTCTGTCTAGAAGCGCTTTACCGTGATCCAATCAATCGACATATGAAAATCCCGGCGAAGCGTGACTCTACTTAATTTTCGACCTAATTTATAAGTTAATCGATAAAGAGAAAAAACAAGGTTGCTCCTAAAACAATCAACTGAGCTTCGTTTAGCGTATCTACCTACCTACCTACTCTATGCTATGATCGTTACAATCGAAATCACTCATTCTTATCGCTCAGCGTAAATTAAAAAAAAAAACCGTTAATGTAAGTGTCGTTTAATTTAAATTCGCACACAGTTATCCTTGTCTCGCGAAGGACAATATACTGTATAACGTCTCCCGCCTCCCCCCTATCGTCCCTCCAACACATTCATTTTTCACTGCATCATTTAAATTTGCCCGCATACCTATAAACACTTGCTACTTCGCGCTTCACACAACCGATCATAGATGACAGTGTGGATGATTTCGAATTGCTCGCCGTAGAATGTAGTGACAGGGAGGAAATGTGAGATACAAAAAATTGTGAATGAAAATAGAAGAGGGAGTGGGAGAAGGGGTGAGGGAAGGGGGGAGAGAGGGAGAAATTACTCGCTGACACGTGTCATAATGACAGAAGGGTTATGAAGGTTAGTTGTATTACGTGCACAATTTGACATATTTTCCGAACAATTTTCGGTATATTAATATTTATATAGAGTGACCATTCCTCAATGAGTGTCGGTGATAAATATTACTACCCATTTCCGGTCTAATTATTTAAAGCGATTTTAATAGTGGGAACTGAATTTTCCAAAAGAAAAAAAATAATTACCCAATCTGATTTGGATCTAGAGCTAGACAATAATTACAGGCATTGAGATTAAAAGCTATAATTTCCCACATATAACTGCATGAACAGGTCACGTAAACACATTATCCATGTACGTACAACGTTACGTATGTTAAGATTAAACTCATACGAATACGTAATCAGTATGCGACGGAAATGAGAAATAATTCACATAAGGTAAATAAACATTCGAGTTTTACGTTAGGCGAGAAACAGGTGCAGTTCTGGTGTAAAGTAATCGTCGAAATAGAGAGAGATAGCGAAAAGTTAAATATGGATACGTATAGTAGAAACGAAAGAGAAAGTAAAGAATAGACAAAGTGAGAATAGTTAAAAAGCAACGGACAAACTCGATAAATCTACTCAACTAGTAATAATATAACGTCCCGAAGACAATATAAATATTTGATGATTTTAATTTAAAAAAAAATTAATCCAAAGAGTGTTTTGAACTTAGAAACCTTCATGGCCTATGTTCACCATTTGCGTCCAAAAAAAGACAAAATAAGAGGATCGAACGGGAGAGAATGTGTTCCAGTGTGAGAAGATAGGACGAAAGGTGGGGGGGGGGGAGAGAGAGAGAAATAGATAGAGGCAGACAAACAGAGATAAAGCTAAAAATTAAGTAGATAAATTATTGTTCGTTCAATTGAATTATAATTTCATTTTAATCAAGGAAACGAACCGTTTTTTTCATTTTTAATAAATAACGTACGGTATTTTTATAAATTACTCTAACATTCAGCGCACGCCAAAGAGAGAGACTTAAAAAAAAACTGGAATACAAAAAAATAAATTTTGCCACGTACCTATATAATTGGAACGGTATTTGTTTAGTGCATGCTCACTAATGATAAACAGAAAGAGGATTACCTGCCACGTATATGTCATATGTGCACATGAAGGATGACGAATAATATTAAATTCGCTCCAAATTCGAGACACATGTGGATACAGATAAATGTACGAAATACGCGTGTGCAGGCGCACGTTGAAAAGTAATTAAATCAAGAACAAATGTGTCTTCCGTTACTTGGATATATTTGATAAAGCGTGATCACAAAAGTTGTTACTTATGTTTGCCGTCATTTTTATTAACGCTTGACGTGAAAATCGGAGCGAGAGAAATCTCATATTTAACGTCCAGTACGTGTATTCGCGTGTATTTATGCTTTTAAAGGGTTAAACGGTGGGATAATGACTAATGATGATCCTATACTGTTCAAATAAGGGGTTTGATTATAAAATTGAAGACGCATATAAGAGCGGTGGTAAATTGAATGTCAAGTAACTCGTGACGATAACGATGATAATCGTAATGACGATTAGAATGAGATTAATGATGATGCTCACAGCTTTTTTGCAAAAAAAAAATATCCCTTCTCATTGATGAATCACTCGTCCGAACGGTGAATACCTTTTAAAAACAATCTAGTTGATATCAAAAATGTTTAAGTACATGAGTAATCAAATAAATACGTATATTATAAAACATACATATTAAATATGCAAGACAACCTGATTAACTTAGATCGAGAAGTAATCATTACCGTTAATAGATTTATGCCTGCATGGCAATCATTTCGCTAAGCGAAGACGTAAAAAAGTCGAGTTTTCTGAAGTCGATTGGCAATGAGAGAAAAGAGGATATAGAAAGATGAAAAAAAAATCTGGATTAAAAAAAGTACACACGCATATATGCGTACTTAAATAATTGTGAGTGTACATTTGTATTGTTAGCGATGAACGCGAAGGCTGTCAAAGTTATTTGCAAAAAAAAGAGAACTGTATCAAAAATGTAGCGCAAATAACGAGAGCAGCAATCATAGGGAAAAAAAAAAATAACTTATGGATTATTGTTAGATGTTAATCGTTGGACCTAAAGGGATTAAAAGGAAAATAATATGTTAAGTAACCAGAGAGCGTGAGAAAATTGTGAGAATAACAAAAACATGCGAGAATGTTATTACGAGAAAGAGAAAAGACATTCATCACACACGAGGAGTTTTATTGTTAAGGCTATCGCGCTAATCAGCCCACACAACGTTCACTTCGTTACGTTTATCAAAAATATTAAAAAAGAAAAAAAAGGGAAACCAATGTTGTCGATTCCCAAGAGCAAAATGCGCGAGTACCAGAAAGGCTATACATAGATACGGCAAAGAGAGCGGAAAGATAAGAAAATATTATAGATCAATACTTAATGAAAAATGAATTTCGTCCCGTTTAAATACAATGGGTTATTTTTTGTTTTATCCTCTCAGATGTTCACGATACATTTTTACGAATAACGTGCACTGTTGCATATACAGAATTATTCACGGTAAACGCACCAGCTGCAGTTGGGCGCGCCATTGAACAATTCCATTAATCGAGTCAGTGTGACCTTATTAAACAAATGGAAGATCGAGCAGTTGATGATGTTAATAATGTTTGATATTAACTTTCTTGTTTTAATGATACTACATTGGTCTGATTGATGAATTCACTTATTTGTGACAAACCTGGTGCGTTTGTTGTAAATAACCCTCTATATATATATATATATACAATAGAGTCCGGGTGATGTATATACATACACATGATTATATATGTATATATATATATATATATATATATATATATATATATATATATATATATATATATATATATATATATATATATATATATATATATATATATATATATATATATATATATATACAATAGAGTCCGGGTGATGTATATACATACACATGATTATATATGTATATATATATATGTACATATATATATCAACGACTAAAGACCGCGCTATTTATTACTACAATATATAAGAAAATGTCTTTCATTACTTCATTATTAAAATTAAAAAAAGGAAGTAAGAGTGAAGTTATAGAAATGCGAATACGTATGTGTATGATTAAAACTGTATAAACTGTATGATGCTATATACTGTATACTGTATTTTAGATACCGTATACTGTATATACTTAAGAAGTCTCTGAATAATATTTCGTATAAGATTCCGTATAAGATAAAGGAAATAAGAAAGGATCAAGTCTTTGAGCAGTTTCTACAAATACAACAGACGTCGAAATGTAAAAATGTAGAGAGGAGAAGAGAGAGAGAGAGAGAGAGAGAGAGGGAGGGAGAGGGAGAGGGAGAGAGGGAGAGAGGGAGAGCGAGAGAGAGAGAGAGGGCGAGAGAGGGAGAGCGAGAGAGAGAGAGAGCGAGAGAGAGAGAGAAACAGAGCGATAAGGGGAGAAATAATCGCCATATGAATGAAATATTTATATTTTTACTTGGATAAAAAAGTTGTAATAATGTTTTTAACTACTACACCAGATTGCCGACGATTATGGACGCGAGACATTTATAACGTTATATTTCTAGGGTAAATGTTATATGAATTATTGTTATGATTCGGTTTATCGAACGACGAGGTGCGTCAACTTGTGCGCAGGTCCGCCGATATATACATATACGTATATATATATATGTATTTCAACTATTTGCAATTTTCTCTTTCGAATTTAATCACCACCGAGCATTCGCGACCATTACTTTATGTATCTAATGGCATCGCGAAGCGTCACGTTCGACGAGTGTGTTCCTACCTTACCGACCGTTGGTTACCCGTACTAAAAGTCGTAATCACCGATTCTTCCTTAATCGCCTTCGGTAACCTTTATCGTGCTCTCCAGAGTTCGCATTCCTGTTGAAAATTCACGGGGTCTCACAGACCCTACTACAAGGTACACACACACAGCCACGGGCACACATTATACATGCGCGCGCGTACACACACACACCGCGGTCGCGAGCGTGCATACATGTTAAACATAGATTGAGATTTTATGAATATGCGCATTAATTGGACGGATGAGAGAAAGTGAGAGAGAGTGAGAGAGAATATATCCAAGTATATCGAGTTCATTAAATTTCGCATTGTTATAGAGGGAAACAAATAATAGGGATGGTGAGAAAACGTAACGATAGGTTGGGTCATGTGTGTCGTTACGTGTATGTGAAACGTGTTACGTGTATTGTCATGTATTGTAATAAAGTGGAACACCGCATATGAACGGAAAAAGTGATGAAAGAAGAACAAATATATCGCAGAAAGGCGAGAAAGCGTGCACTGGTGAAATGTAATACATGTATCGAGTTATCCCTAAATACAGCCATTTTATAATGGACAAAATGTGTGTGTAGATCCACTTTGCTCCCTCCTACCGACTTCACGTATTCGCAATTACTATTTACTGATTGTGTGTGCAACAATATTGTGCAACAAATGTGCAAAATTCTTATCTCTTATATACGTACACTAGCTGTCAAAATAACGTGATTTTCTGTGACTTAGAAAGTTGTTTATTAACATTTAAAAATGAATACCATCGTCCACACAAACGTGTCGTAGGAGTACGATTTCAACATATGAAAAAGAAAAAAATCGCGATTAGCTCGGCTTCGCGATTTCTTATACATTTACTACCACTGGCATGGTCTTAGAAAAAACGGATAATTTCTAAGAGAAAAGGAAACGGGAAACGAGGCAAGTAGGTAAACTGATGTAATGATACGACCAGTAAATATAGAAGCTAATCGCTTAAGGCTGAGACATAATAAACAATTAAATGTATAAAATCTAGTAGTGCGTCTACTATTGGCTAACAGAATCTTTTCTTTTTCATCGCCATTATCATCCTCGATCATTACGGTTGCTACTATTCTAAATTTCAACGATGAACAAGAATGAGAATAAGGATCGAAAGCTCCACGTCGCCGGTGTGCTTTCCAGTTTTCATTTTTTTTCTCTTTTCATGATTCTACTATATGACGCTGACGTTACAAGATAATAATTTATATATTTATACAAGTTGGATAGACAGCCGCGAAACAATCGGCGTAATTGACCGTCCCACGTCGGAGTATGAAAGCACGACTTGATGATTGAAGCGCGCAAGCGTATCCCCTTTTTCACGTTCTGATACGTCTTTTTTTCGTTATTTTTGTAGTTTTGTATTTAATATTTTTTAATTTTATACTTTTACAGCTCATCCCTCAGTAACGTATATCTGTTTTTGCTTGGTGTGAGCTTCTTGAACGTCGATTCGGGAGGAGTTGTCGGCACTTTCACCTGTCCTGCGAGCTGAGGAACGTCATTGTTACTGGGATCCGGACCGTAGTGAAATTCACGGTGCAATTTCCCAGAGTAGAGATCCTGCAGGAAGGATTTGAGTTTTCCAGGTATGAAAATATCCTGGAAGTTCGGGAAGAGATACATGTGACGGAAGCTATCGATCGCTATCAGAGGTAGATCAGATGTGCTCTTTCCCAAGTGTTGAAGAGGATGCGCAAATTTAAGGCCGTCAGCGGTCAGGAAGTTGATATTCTCTAAGAGGATAGAAATTTATGATTAAATACTGAAGATAATTTTTTTTTCAACCCGGTGTGCGAAATTCAATTTTTGCAACACTGTACGGAACTCATTAAGAATCGACCAGTTTGTGTTTCTTTTTGGTGCATAAACTGCAAACTTTCCGTACAGTGTTACAAAAAATAGTATATGATACGCGTGCGGGTTGGTGATTCCTACTCGTGTGACATTTGCCACTCTCACTTCACTCGGACGGCAAACGTCACACTCGTCAGGAATCACCAACTTCCCGCACTTGTATCATATGTACGAGTACTCTTCTCATGTCTGCTTATAGCGTTTTCTCACACATTTTCGCATTTCGCTGTTTATGATAAACAAACGATATCGTAACGATATAGTTATAAGCCACATCGTACCTTTGTGAGCATGTGCGTGCAGTGAGTTACCGAAGCGATAAAAATCCGTGAAAATGAGTGCAGAAAATCAAACGGGTTATGAAATCGGAGATATTATACCAAACGACATGCTCGAAGACGCAAAAAGTGTTACACTGCACTTATTACTGACGAAATTCAAACATCAATATGTGATAACATACAATGAATTTAAAAATTGAAGGAAAACAAAAAAACATCTTCATTCTCTGAAGAAATTCTCCTTGTGTACTTTGATAAGCTATCGAAAACTCTCGCTCAATCCACTACATGAGCTAAATATGCCCATATGACTTTTAAAAGTGTTTGTTTTAGTGGAGAGGGGCTTCACCCCCTTCCCCATCAGGGCCTCCGCGCCCCTGGACCCGTTCACGCCCCATCTCTCCCAATTATATCACAATATACTATACTTCCTTCGTTACTGTAGTTTCTTACAGGTTACGAATTTCGCACACTGAGTTAAAAAATAGTATACAACACGCGTGCTCGTACGTGATCCTCGCACGCGTGCTTTGTCACACGAGTGAGTGTGAGTCGTGAGAGACGCACGTACTTCGCGCACTTGTATCGTGATGTACTATTTTCATCATTTTTATCAAACTCACGTTTCTCGTCAATCAGCGTATTGACCACTACGTCCTTGTATGATTTAACACTCTCGAAATCATCCGGTGCGTGGAAGAGGATCAGGAATGGCAAACCCTCTTCCGTCAATTCTTCGGCATTTTCAAATGTGATTTCCCGAACCAGAGGCACACATTTCTCTTGCGCCCAGATATTTAATTCATCAAAATTTTGTAGACTGCCCTTGTACGTTTCATCCTCATCGTTGGACAAAGCTTTATCCGAACGGAACACTACGATTGGTTGTCCTGGAGGATGCATTGCCCTGCTTGCATCCCTGACAAAGAAACCCAAAATTGTTTCAATTTTATCCTTGATGAAGTTTTATGAAATTTTAATATAAGTGAACCCATATGAATTCTATGTGTTAATGCAATTCCTTTTTCTTTGTGTAAAGAGTGCTTAGGTTATTTTTACTTACGCAAAATGAAAATGCTCTCCAATTTCACAGTTTTGATTGGAGCATGTGCTTGTTAAATAAAAGGAACAAAGTAACTGCGTTATTTATTAACTAACAGTATAGAACATTAAGACTCTATGTTATATGCCTAATTAAAATAGTAATGTATTCTTTTATACAGCACATAAAAGTGTATGATGTATTGGCTATTACAAGGTATATTTTGTAAGTTTTCAAGTATAAATTGTACCATATAAACATTAGATAATGCTTTTCTATATGTTATAATGTGTTTAATCATAGTATGTATTTAACTCACCCAAAGCCAACATGAAATTGACAATCATCCTTAAGATTTGTGGCTACTCTTCGGAACATCTGATACTCTGGAACATCTTTTCTATCAAAGTATCCAATAATCATTCTCTTTTTGTCATCTAATTCATTCAATTCCTTCATGTTGTAGAATTCTTTGATGGGATCCTCCAATTGTTTCTTAACAAAGTCTACAAAAGCATCGACAGAGCGTTGTCCTCTATATTCTCTTTTGGTTGGTTGGCCATTTCTAATTATTTTCAAAGTTGGATACTTGCTAATATGAAATCTGGATGCGATGGATGCTGAAACATATTAAAATTCTAAAATCCTATTTCAACAATTGAATTATAAAAAAAGAGATACTAACATTCTTTATCACAGTCCACTTTTCCCATAACGACTCTTCCAACTTCCGGGAAAGCCTCTCTCACTTTGTCTGATGCCTCATCAAAAATTGGAGCCAATAAACTACTAAAGCGACACCATTCTGCATAGAAGTTAATGAAAACTAGTTCATTTGATGCTGAAAAAAAAATACATGCATACATATATAATGGAATTATTCAAAAGCATTCAAGTGTTCCACAAATAAAATATCTTACCTAACGTCATATCAATATTTTTTTGCGTGAGTGGCGTAGCTCCACCATCTGCAGACACAAATGGTAAGAATGTCTGAAAAAACACAGAGAAAAGGTGCTTTTAAACAAGTAACTAATAGTACTCAAACTTCATTACATATGAAAAATTATTCAATCTAAAAACTAATGATCTTCAATAAGGTATTATACATAAAATAACAATAATTAGTTGAATAATTTTTTATGTTTATGAATGTCATGTTACATGACATATGCCGGTCAATTACGAAACTATTATTATTACATCGAAGACATTTTGAGGTTAGTCCCACTGACATCAGGGAGGAACATATTCACAGCACCCAGTTCGTATTACGTGAAAATAAAATGCCACAACCACATGTAGACGACATCAGCCCAGAAATAACGGAACATATAATTTCTAGAGATCTCGTTTACTTGAAATGTGTCATAAGATGTGCGTGACAGTTTTGGAGGTTTTATTCGGCAAAAAATGAAACAATTCGTAAAGAGGACCTAAGTCCTACGTACTCACCATAATACAGGCATAAACAGCGATTATCGCCTGATGAGCAGTGCAGGGCAGCATCTTTTGAACTTAAAGTAATCAAATAAAAACTACGAGAATGAACATCGGCAGCAACGAACGATGCGCATGAACGCCACGAACCTCATTCGTGTCAATATCGATTCCGTATCTCGAACCTCAAATAAGTGTTATTCGAGATATCGATGTTACTTCCATTCGACTGTATCACGTTGCCTCACGTGATTCGGCCAGTATTAACCAATGATAATAGTTGTATTCCAATTATAGTGATGGTTCAAATTTAAAATGACCGCAAAATAAAAGTTGCATAATTATTGTAAAGTATCAAGTACAAATAAATATTCCATCACCAAATAGAAAGTCAATGAATTTTTGAAAAACTGTACACGGGTATGGTACCCGTTACTGCAAGACACAATAAAGCAATCATTCCTCTGTAATCTCCGTGTAAAAGCGAATTATTAGCAATAGCCATTGACAATGAATACGACTAGTCGAAAAAGAATAGTGTTCCCTATAGTCTCGAGTCCCTGAATCTTTTGACTATTGACAGTCAGGTACTGTAAACTCAACTGAACCTTGTACCAACAAATCTAATCCTTTTCGAGCCCACCTCGAAACACTACGAAGGTTTAAGGATAATTTACGACTGGCAACCGCAAAAGAGTGAAAGAGAAATCCTTCGTGTAATCCACGGATTAAACGTAATTTACAACGAAATCCAATTTCTTTTGCTTATTTTACGGATTCTCATCTCATCGTGAATTGAAATCTGCGAAAACCAGCCCCTACATCTTAAACCCGTTCCTTCCATTTTGCTATATTGGGTATACTATCTGATTGATACTAGTATGCAAGCTGTCGTTTGGTTCGTACTACATATATGAGGCTACGTCTGAAAGATCCATTATGAGGTTTCAAACATATGGGCATAAACACGACAGTTTCTGCGAACAGCTTTGTCAGAAAAGGCAAGAAGCCTATGTAGGACTGCAGAGAGCGGCTCTTTCGGAATCGGGGCCTTATACCTCGAAGTCGGCATTTTTAAGTCTCGCCGCAGGGGTCGAACTTTGATGATGCCGATGTCAATCCCGAAGTCACGGATCGCGCGGCGACTTTTTGGGACTTTTCGCTTAAGCCCAGGGCCTATGGAAAATGAAGGATAGTTGTGTCAGTTGTCTTAAGCAATGAGAGGGAAGAGAGGTGAAAATAAAAAAAACATAACCTATCATAAACAACGTTATCTCAGATTTTCAGTTTCTCAAATCGCTAAAATTGTGACCCTGATTAAAAAAATTCGCGAGGACCACCAACATATCTTTCCATTTCTCTTGAATAACAGGAAGACCTTTTTCCATGGTATGGCCCATATTCTAACCTCTGGAGTAGGGCACCACTTAAAAATTACGGCTCTTTGTTCGGGACTGTGGTCCCTTTGAGCGGCGGCATAGCTACACGGAAAATGTTGACATAAATATCATTTATATGCTCGGCACCCTCATGGACGCACAACTCCGCGCTGTTGTGACGTTAACTCTGTTCATGGTGAACGGAATAAAATGGTAAATCACTAGTCCCACCGGCTATAAAATCGGACTCAGGTGCAAGCCTTATAGGATATACCCTTGTCGGCGCGATTCTCGACAGTTGTTAAATCACACGATTATGGAATCCTTTTGGACGGAGATGGGAAATTTATAAAATTGTAAAGCCACGGAGGTCGTCTGCCAGCCAGAATACAATATCGGTATAAGGATCCGTAGCACTAGGAATATACGTATACAGAGATATGTCTCCAAAGTATCGAAGTCAATTTTGTACGAGGAAGAACTGCAGCTATGGCTAACGTAAGAAACACTTGTGCCTTGGTTCAAGTCTAAAATGGTGGCTCTGACTTTGGGTTCCTGTAGGACAAACGAGCCCGTTGAAAGATAAAACCACACAATGCACCTCAGGACTCCTGGCTTCCCCGAAGGACGCCTTCGGCAAGTGCGGTTTTCGGCATTGACTTTGTGATTTGCCGTCACGATTGGGGAACTGCGTGTCGCTGCAATGGGAAGAGCCCAAGGGGGTCCTGTATGTATATATATATATATATGTATATATATACGATAAAATATATATATGTATATGAGAATGATATAGATGAATTTGTATAAATAAAATAAGTAAAACAGGGTGTAAAAGAAGCGGCAGATTATTTTGAGAAATGTGTGTGTATATATTTTATCAAGTTCCTGTTTGATCAAGACCGACCTTGCCAGGATTCTTAAAGTTCAGGTGGATCTGTTCTTAGAGTCTGACACACAAATCATATCTTCGGCGCTTAGAGAACCTTTCTCTTCTCTTTGGTCCATCTTTTCCTGTTATAGCCACTCCGCAGCCACCCTCGCAACAAAAGCATTACCGCCGTCATTAAAACAAAAGAGGATCGGCGGTAATTAAAGCTGGCTGCCCGCCGGAGGACGGGACTCCCCTGACTCTGTAGGTATTAACTCATTTTCTTGGCCTGCCAGGAAAAGAATAAGCTTCGACCTTTAGGGTCGTAGAATCACTTCTTTTTTTATTCATTTGACTCTCTCTCTCTCTCTCTCTCTCTCTCTCTCTCTCTCTCTCTCTCTCTC